TAACTCTCTCTCTGTCTATCAATGTGGTGGGATCAGGGTCTACTGTTTCATACTGCCTAACCTGCCATCACTCCTTAATCTCTTTCACTTCTCTTCACCCCCACTATTTTTCTATCTCCACTTGCCACTACTATTCTATCAATCAGCGAAGACTTCTTTTTCCCCACTATTTCCTAGACGAAAGATGAGGTTACTGAACGTCTATGGATGAAGCAAAAAGCGCAGAGCACCTTTCAACTGATCACGTGATTGCATAGAGATCGGAACGCAGCTGTTATGGCGCAAGTCACATGGTACGCGTGAGTTGGAAGGTTCTGATAAAGCGGATGTAAACTCGGAATCATGTTCGTAGCCTCTGTACGAGTCGCGAGACCAGTGAGCCGGTTTCAGAACCAAGTGAGTGAAGAACAGTGACTTTTCTTACTCGTTCGGATGGATTACTACATGTTTATCACTCGAGTTATCGTCTGCTGTATCTGAGTAAGTAATTACTAGTCATTCATTGATCGCATGGTGTTTATGCATGGATGAAACTGAGAGAAAACAAAAGCTTTTTTTAGTTACACACACACATGTATCGAGAGAGAGCGATGTAAGACACTTACAAGGCTTATATGAAATGCGACTGATCACCCGAGGGAGCGATTGATTTGCGGCACGAAACTGTCTCTCTCTCAGCGAAGTATGATGACGCGACACGAGATCGACACGTGTCTCGCCAACAAATAGAAAGAAAGAGACGCGAAAGATGTAATCGTTGACCACTCGGCGTCGTCGCTCGAATGTAACTAACGCGTTCCTAATGTACATTACGCGGGCTAAACTGTGTTTCGTGGTTTTAACATGGGAGAGAGTCCCGTTTTGTCCCGGGACGCACGTACTTAGGCTGCGGTCCGTTTCATGCTTACGCGCACATTTATCTATAGTATACGTGACACATACTACAGATAAATGCGCGATTAAGCATGAAACGGACCGCAGCCCTAGAGTGAGAAGAACTTGCTACGCGCTTACACATGCTATACACAGTGACCACCAGTCACGCAGAAACACTAACAACAAGTCCGCTCGTTCCTCGAGACACACGCACGATAATAGAAAAAGATCACGAGCGCAAGAGGGGCACTTGCGCGGAGTACTCTTATATTGTAGAAGAAAGGGGGTTAGAGAGCGCGCGACAAAACGTTCCTCGGGCGAACGCAACAACGCAAACAACGAATATACAAAGAGCTCGCGAGTGGCAACGCAAGCGGCAAGTTTTGATCGAAGAAACGACCGTGACGCGCGACGAGGGGCTAAATTATCAAATATTAACGCGCAGCCGATCCCCCCCTCTCACACTCCTCTGTATCGGTTTTTTACCCCCTTTAGTAAGCCTTAATCACGCGGTTTGTCCACCAACGCTTCGACATCTTAATTAATATTGCACGCACCGGCACACACGGGGCCTAATGTCATCCAGCACCGCTTTGGTTTTTCTCTCCTCTCTGCCGGATCACTGGAATCGTCGCCCTAAACAAAATCGATCGCGCGAGTCGGGATCGCCGTACTCCGACGATCCCGCTCGCCGGTGTATCACGTATATATATAAAAAAAGATAAAAAACGAGAATAACGCAGAGAAGTCGTATGTCGTCGAGCACTGACGGCTCGCGATCGACGAATCCCTCAGATCCGCTTATCCTCTGTGTGATGAGGGCTTTCTTTTATTATGTAGCTTCTCTTAAATACTTGTTGCACGCGAGCGTGTTGTAAATATCAATATAACTAACCGTATATACGCGTACGGCGTACGTAAACAATTATACTTAGTGGTTTTATGCGCGTCAAGGATAGAGTAAATCACTCAATCTCCTCGGACGCACCCTGTCGTCGACTTATTTTCCTTACTTCTCCTCCGTACAGCAGCGCATTCTGCGAGAATCAACATATCGCTTCAACATACGCTTATGCATTCGCTATGGATTAGTTGCTTTTTAACGCTAATCGGTACTGTGTAATCGTAGTACAATATCATATGCTAAATTTATGTTATAGAACTAGTAATCAACGTGCTACGTGAACTGCCGCCTGCGTCCTCGGCCGACACTGACCTCATCTTCGCACCAAGGTCATCGCATCTACCGGATGTCTGCTCGATCGCGCGCGATCGTGCACAACATCTCGTCTCTTGAGCTGAGAGCATTCTTGACGGTCGCGCTCCGCGAGGAAAGGTGCTCTCGTTTCCTCACGAGCGCGACGGAGAAACGCACAGTGTATTACGCTACATTTAAATAATATAGTCAGTCCTTGATCCCTCACCTTCTGACGTGTTTTTTCGACGTGGTACTTTTTTGTTTTTTGTTTTTTTTCACGTGAATGTCAAACGTTCAAAGTTTGTTCAACGTTGCTTTTTTTTATTTTCTTCATTGTGTAATCTTCGTGTAGGCCAACGAAGTTTCTTCAGCGTTTATGCGGATGATGTTCGAGTCTTCTGTTTTTTTTATTTTTTTTTATTTTTTTAATTTTTTTTACGTCATTCGACCTCGATCTTAGTGTCTTCACTAAATGTGCCCTGTCGTCGCGCATCTCTTTAGGTGCTTTCGAAGATTATACACTCTTCGTTGAGGCCCTTGCGATGAAAAGAACCAAGCGCGTCCGGCTCGTCTCCGGTTCGGCGGCCCATTTTGTCAGCTCTCGTCGATTTCTTCTTATTTAATAAATTTTATAAAACCACGACAATTGTGGATTAGAAAATAACAATTTCTCCTGCCCCAGAAAGCTGTGTACAATTGTGATTTCTATTTGTATATTTTTGCACGATGCTGAGCTGCCCTGTAATAAGGGTGTGTCGGTTACAAAGTGAAGAAGCCAGTGCCGATGTTCTACGGATTGTATCGGCGACGGTCTTCTGGAAGCTAATATCACACTGTCGTGACGTACTCGCGCATCTCGGGAGAGTCGGCTCTGTACCAGGGGTCGTCGTACTTGGACACCTCCTCGCTGCGAGTCCTCGTGGGCGCTTTGGTACGCTCGCGCGCACGTATACGCGGTCCCTCCTCGCTCAGTGACCTCTTCGTCGCGTCTATGTGTGGCACCTCCAGCAAGGCTTTGGATCTCATCAATTGCGGCCTCTGTCTCTTCGTGTCCTCGCTGGCGGCGCGCACGATTATACCCGGCGGTGGGAAGGATACGGAATCCCGGATTCTCGGAGGTAAAACCTGGGGTAGTCTGTCTTCCAGAGGATTGGTGGAAGGAGCCGGCGATTTCAACCGGAACGCGCCTTTGCGAGTGAGTCGGGTCTTAGGTCGTTCCGGCGACGGTTCTGGCGAGTATTCCGACATTTGCGGCGCGATGCTTTTCCTCTTGGTGATAGGCGTAGTGGGCGTGGTGGGCATCGGCGACCAGACCGGTGATGAGTCATCCGGTGTCATGACCTTCGGCGGTGTTTTCTCCGGCGATTCGTCCTTCCAGCCGCCCTGATAGAGTGGGAACGGCGCGACCTGATTGAGAATTCGCCACCGGAACTCCTCGTCATCGCTCTTCGGCGATTTCGCCGGCTCCGGCGGCGGACAGTGAGTCGGCGTGACGTTCTGGAACGGATCTACCTTGGAATCATCCTGAATCATCTCGATCGGGATGTCGCTCGGCGATTCGTCGTACGGCGTCCACTTAATCTCGCTGATGTGCTTCTGCTTGTCACGTTTCTTGATCCCGATCGTCGGCAGCGGCGAAGAATCCTCGTAGGGCGCCCACTTGGTGCTCGTGATGGTGATCTCCGGCGAGATAAGACGTCGCACGATTCTGTTGTCCAATTTGGTCATCTGCCGCGGATCCGGTTCTGGCGACATGCTCCTGCGTATGCTGTACTTGGGCCGCTCGCGCAGACTCTTGCTCTTTGGCTCGTCCTGACTTCTATACCATTTCGGCGCCTTCTTCTCACCGGGTAGAGACACGTGCGCTTTCATAGCCCACTTGGCTCGTAACGGCTTCTTACTTTCCGTCGGACTGACGATCTTCTCTTTGTCCTTTTCCTTTTCTCTTTGGGAAAAGCCCCATTTCCTCGAACTTTCACTCCTGACTTGAGCGGATCGCTCCAGTTTGGGTCGATGGGGCTTTTGTCTCGGTCTCGGATCCTCGCTCACTTGTCTCTTTATTTCGGGCTTCTCCCACAGTACGGTCGAATCGTCGGGCGTCAGCGACTTGGAGTAATATAATTTCTTCTCTTCTTTCTGCACCGGTTTCTCCGGCTTCTCCTCTTCCACCGGTTTCTGTTCCTGCGGCGACGCGGGAACCGGAGTCTTCGCTTTGGGACAAGTGCATCTGGGCTTCGGATTCGGCATCACCTCCGGTACCTGCAGCCACTTGGCCTCCCGCGCGAATCTGGTATCGTCGCTGCTGTGCTTCCTTAGGTCGTGCATCGGCGTCAGCAGATTCTCGATCGACCATTTGTCTCCCTCCGCGCTGTGATGCTTTCTGAGATCGCCCCGTTCCGGCTTCTTCTCTTCCGGCGTCAGACTGTGGCAGCTGCACTTTGCTTTCCTGACAAGGTCCAGGTCGGTGCTCGAGGTGTGCAGCTCCCATCGGAACTCCGTGCCTTCGCTGGTGCGTCTTCTCAAGTCCCAGATCGCGTCGTCGGGCGACAGGAAACTGCTGGTACCCCATCTCACCTCGCTCCATGTCACCTCGGTGCTGCGAATCTTTCGGAGATCGCGTTGCTCTTTACTCGTCGTCGGTGCATTGACTTCGTCGCAACTGCAGAGCTTCGTTGGCGTTCTCTGTGACTCGAGTGGCGCGGGCTCGATGGCGTCCAGGTCCTCGATCATCAACGCCATTTCCTCCCGACGTCGCCGACCGCATCTTGAGCAGAATGTACTGTCGCGACTAGACCGCGGCGGCCGCTGCTGGCGGGTGGGGCTGGAGGTCGAGGTCGATGCGGTGGGGTCAAGCTGCAAGCGCGGCTCCACGTCGTCGCGACGGCCATCGTCAGAGCGTCGTGACGTCGCAGCCGTGCCTGGCGATGCGTACCAGCAGGTGTGTGTAGCTCCGTCAAGCTGCCTTGGTGGGTACCGCGACTCCGGAGACGACGAGGCTCCGTTCGAGGCCGTTACCAGACAGACTTCCGCGCTCGCCGGCACCGCAGGCCTGTTCGAATTCACAGAATAGAGCTAGACCCCCACAAATAGAGCGCCCCCTTACATCGCCGTAGTTCAAAGCATGAGATTGTTCTTTTATTGCATGCTAAAAAAAATATTTTCAGTTGCAATAGCAAAAAAGAACCACGTACCTTCAGTTCGGAGAAGATCTCCGTGAAGAATCCGGGCTCGCTGTTGATTCGCAGCATCTCAGAGCTGAGTCGGTTGACGATCAGGAGGCATCGGTCCCAGAACTTGTCCTTGCTGTCTTCGATGAGGAACGGCTTTAACGGGTAGCTGATCTCGTTGCCCATGTAGCTGTAGCTCAGATAAAGGCATGTCAGCACCGTCGCCTGAAGCTCTTTCTCGGACGCTTCGTCCCCGTCGACGAGCTCTTTCACCAGCATGTACACGAACACTACGTTGGCAGGGTTTATGAAGGGTACGTCCTGTTCGTGTGCCAAACAGAAGAAGACACGTACATATGCTTTAGAAAAACACATTTGGAAACGTAATTTATATTAAAAGGATATGATTCATGTCTGCAATCGTATACTTCAGTCAATAAACGATGAAGTTCGCGACGTGTCGCGATTGTCGAAACGCGAGAGGATGTAGAATTATTTGTCTAAAAATTTGCATCTCACTGAGATCGATGTATTCCTCAAAGACGAGCTTAAAATGAATGAGAATCTAAATACACGCGACTTCTTCAGAAATAAATACGTCTCTTCAGCGTATCAGACGCAAGGCCCTTCGGAAACAAATATAGTTACACAGATGTTAATTAGTGCGGATACACACGTAAGGACGACACAATATGTCGTGTAAAAATAGAAAATCTATTTATACGCGACTTAGATCTTCATTAGCCGTGAAACACACGGAGAGAAGTCGCGCGCCAAAGTAAGTCGGGTCTTTTCGCGCGCGAGCACTATACATTAATGCGCACGTGTTGCGAAAACAATGGACAACTTTGGTTTTCCTCACTTTTCGAACGTTACGTATTACCAAGTAAAATATTAGGTCGTTAAGTGAAACTTGACAAATACTAGAATATTAGAGCAGAGCCAAACAAGATGTATGTAATATGTGTGTTGTTTATTGAATATAAAACCAAACGATCTATTCGAATCTTCCTCAATACTACTAAAGTGAAGTAAAACTTTAATAGGTTGACAGCACACACTTACAATGCAAAATATATAACTCTGCCGCTCCTCGGTAAAACACCAGAGACCATTTTACACCACAAGTTTACAAAAATGTACTAAAGTACACGTCAGTGAATTTTTAATTTTTATTTCAATTGATTGAAACGTTTTATATTCAATATAAACATATCTTGTGATTTGGGTCTGCATCCTCTGTTTCATCTTCTCATGAGTTTATTTAATTGTTATATGTATTTGTTGTTAGGCGTTAATATTTGATCATTAAGTATGAAAGTTGACAAATATACACATATTTATTTGTTAATACATATTTGTCAAGTTTCATACTTAATGATCCAATGTGTACCGTTGGCACATTGTGTGAGTAAACAATGTGTGCACTCTGCATATATGCAGATATACGTTACCTGCATTGTCGCAAGATAATGTAACTCGACGTTACTTTGTAATTCAATCAATTAGTTACGCGCAATTAGCATTCAAATAATGAATGCCTCATTAATAACTCGCGTGTACGTGTCTCGCGCAGGTCGCGATAATATACACACGTTTCAAGTGAACCGCGCGCGTCCGTCACACGTAGGTGTGATACGCGCCAAGACGGAGTCGCATTAGCGCGCCCGAATGCATCGGCTCATGATCGCCAGGTGCCTACGTTAGGTATAGGTGCATCGATTCGCGAGAGGGTGTTTCACGACGGTGACGCGGCCGTCACACACACACACACATACACGCGTGCGCGCGCGGTGAGTGCATTAAGCGCGCGGTGAGGCCACACAGTGACCCGGGGGAAGGATCGATGCCCCCGATACATTTTCCTCGCCGATCGGCAACCTGCTGCTGTTTTTATTTCACGCGCCTCGACCTCTCTCTCTGTGTTCCTCGTTAGCCGTGTCGGCTTTTAATGCACATTACCGCCGCGCGCACTCACGTTTGCAATTAGCTCACACGCCAGGATGCGTCTTCCCCGATATATATATATGTACAGCACTCGGCTCTTCTCCTCCTGTTGAGGGCCGTCGACACTGTACCCGGTGTGACAACGCGCCCGACACACGTTCCGGGAGAATAATCGGAGCAGTGCACTTTGCACAATGCGGCGGAAAGAAAAAGGGATATTGCGCGGCCTCGCGTGAAACGAAACCACGCCGAGATTCTCTTTCCTCTCGAGGAAAGCCTCTTGCGGAAACTCTCTCCTTCGCCTCTAATCACAGTTCGCTTCTTTGTCTCCGCTCTGAGAGAAATCCGCGATTGTAGGACACAGGTTGTACCTGTTGTACAACAGGTTTTGTCGTCGTCTTATCAGGGATTTGCAATTTTTTTTCTCATTGTCGGTAAAACCGTTGTAAGAAGATATATAGATGTATGTGTGTGTAGAAAAGGGGTGCGCTTTGCTTCTAGACTATTCCGACGTTAAAATAGATGACGTGTTCTGATAGACTCGAACCATCAATGGCATTACAAATGCCGCGGTAAGCAGATCGCGTGACGTTAATATCGAGAAATTATTCATAGATAGCGTCCATGGATACGTTTTTACGTCCCCGCGACTCGCAACGTAAAACCTGTATGCTCGTCGCGTGGGCGACAGCAGTAAGCGGAAAATTATGTACAGAGGATCAGCTTCGAAATACTGGTGTACTCGGTTTGGCAAGACCTTACTTCAGAATTTTTCTTCTCACAGAACGTTTCTTTTTTATAATTTACATTCGACGCGATCCGTTTTTGCATTATTGAAAAATTCACCGGTCAGCGAGTGAAACAAAGAGAGAGAGAGAGAGAGAAAAACCAACAAGTAAATCGTCTCCCAATGTTTACGTCCGTCTACGATTTTGCCGGACTTGCAAGGTTTTCGCTCTTCGATGCATGATTCATTAGACTAGGGTTTCCACGTGCTTCGACCTCGAGTCTCCATCGAGAGAGGCGACTTATTCGATCCCAGGTGTAGGCGCGAGGGTAAGTGAAATCGCGGTACAACGGAATTGGGGTGCTAATATACCCCGGCGAGGAGACATACACTCTCTCCAGGTCGGTCGATATTCGTCAGGGGTGAGCGGCCTGGCCTTATACCCGCCGCTCTTTCTCTTTCTCGTGTTATCCAAGTCGTCTGTGCGGTGCGAAGAGCCCCTATAAACCTTTTAATTAAATTTCCAAGACCGCGGATAACGGTTCCGCGAGAAAGTTGCCACGTCAACTCGGGCCAATTAGCGGCACGCCTACGATCGCAATTACACCCGGACTCGGATTCGAAGGTGTAATGAGAGAGAGAGAGAAAGAAAGAGAGAGAAAGAGAGAGAGAGAGAGAGAGCTCGTTGATCCGCTCGTATTGCGTTCCTCGAAAAGCGCGCAATTAACGTACATGTAAATTAATGATGAAAAAAAACAACTGTAATACGCGCCGCGAATAATCCAGGTTTAAAGGATGAGTCACGTGGAAGTCGAGCTAATTCCGTATTATACGTTAGATGTATAGTCGCGTTCGTGCGAGGACGGGTTAATTATGAGGATACACGTCACAACACGTGTGTCTTGCGTGAAAAACGTGATCGGAATGGAATTTTCTGCTGTATGGTTTCTTCTCGTAAGCAGATTTTCAGCAACGCATGTCTCGGCCTGATCTCGTTTGACGACCAGACGGTCGTAACCGGTTAGGTAAATTGTTGTTCCCCTTCCCCCGGAAGAGCTGTTGCTCGTGCGCTTTGACGTTTCGCTAGATCGACGGAATATCGCGCAGAACGACGGGGGAGAATTAATTAATATTAATGCATTACATATTCAGCACCTGCAAGCCTGTGTAATTCAATTTATTATATCTTAGTACTCGGATTACCTGGTATTCCTGTGTGTGATTCTATTCTTGGATCACATCGGACATGTGACCAACGACCTGTCAATAATAGGGTGTGTCACGCCGCGAAAGATGTTTACTCGGGAGGGATCGCATTTAAACCACGCGGTTCTAATTTTGGCAAATACAATTTGTTGTCTATAAACAAACCGCTAAAAATATTGTCTAAGAAGAAGATCTTTGAGTTTTGACTTTGAGTTTTATATACTTGTTACTGTTTTTTACGCACAATGGATGGATTCAGGGTGATAAAAATAGCTTCGCGTTCGCAAGAGCCGATATCCGAGAAGGAGACACCTCCCCGTCGTAATTAAAAATCGGTAAGGGTGAACGTCCCTCGCATCTTCCCCCACACACATTTCTGCACACCATCCCCTAAGGGGATGGATCGCGCGCGACATTGCTGCCGCTTGAGCGTAACTTTGCGACCCTCACGCGCGCGACCCTCTTCACCCCTTGCGCCGATTTCCAACCCCCCTTGTAATGCTGTCTCGTCGCGCGACGAGATGTTGCGTCTTCTCGAGAATGTCCATTAACGCGAAGTGGCGTGCACAACTTTTACTGCAACAAAATAAAAACCCCTGAAACGTCCCGGAGAATCAAAGTTGAATTTACTTCAGAGACAAGAGCTTTGTACACTTTGGCGAGAAAAGAGAAAATGTGATAGAGAGAGAAGAGAGAGAGAGAGAGAGAGAGAGAGCGAGATTTGAAGTTGAAAATCAGCACATGTCTCTCAAGAGATAGAGACCACTATAAATGGCTACCTTCGATAACAAAAGCCTATGCATATTTATTCAACGACGCAATTGACAAGAGGATTAAACGTGCGCGTGGACAGACCGGAGAGAGCGCCGTGTTCCCTATCTCTAGCGGTGCACAATTGCGTCGCGTTGTATTAATAGAAATATCCAATGTTTCATCGCGCGTTTCTGAGAAAACACCGACCGAGACGAATCGGCCGCGCATCCTCGTTCGCAGAAATGTTCCCTGGAAAATTCCGAGTCCGATTTATTTTCCGAAGTTGTAGTTTTGTCGCGATGTGAATGTTCTCGTGAAATTTATCCGGAAAAAGAAATTTTTCGTTGGTCCGAAATTGAATAAAAAAAAAATCGATCAATATACGCTTCGAGTGTAACAGCGCGCGTGCGAAGGTTTTACAATCATTTTTCCAGTTCCCTGATACATAAAAGTGCTTCTCATCTTGAAAAAGGAAAAAAAACACAATCCGAGAAACGTGTCCTCGATGAGAGAAACGGATACGCGAAATCTGAGGATTGGCAAAAGAACGACTCGGTACTTGTTAGCGGAGTATTTTCTGGGCGAGATGATAACGCACAAGATTCTCTCTCTCTTTCTCTCTTTCAGAGATGTTGGACGCGCGACTATCGTTATCTCTCGTTCGCCCTTTCACGCGTGAACTTATCGACATGAGAAATCGATGTCGTGGGCGCGCAGGGGTGTTACTAGGGAACGCGAGTCTGCTTTTTTATTATGGAAATCTTCGACGCCGCCGCAAAGCGGACTGACGCACGCGAATGTCGCATTATGTCGCAAACTGTTTTGCAAATTGACAAAATATGCCATGAATTATTGAAAGTGACAAACCAGAAGGTACACACTTGTGTGTAACATATATTTAAGTTTCTTCGAACTCGCAATTACTCCCGTTGCGACGCAATTGCTCCTAACTGCGCGTCAATTAATTACGTTAGTTGAACGTTTAAATCGGAAAATCTCGAAGGTCTTGGCACACTTTTAAACATTCTTCGTAGGCGACGATCTAGGTGCCGATAATATGTCACCTATGTCAATCTTTTTTTTTTTTTTTTTTTTTTTCAAAGAAAGATCTTTGCTCTGAAATAAAATACGTTGATGCCAAAACCGCGTATCTGTCCGCACAAAGATTATTGAGACGATTTGTGCGTCACTTGTGACAAGGGAAACTTCACCCACGTTACACGCGAGATCGGAGAATCGTCGCCGCAGCGCTCCGGGAATTATTACTTTGCGCTATTTTTCCATGAACGAGTTAGAACGCGGCACGTTTGAAGGTTGCACGACATTGATGACGGACGATAACGACTTCCGACACACAAAGCAGGCGAAAGAATACCGTCGATTTCGCCGATAATTACCTTTCTCGTGCATGACGTTTTGATGTGAAACAAAAAAAAAAAAAAAAAAGAAACCACGTTCCGAGCAGAGCTAATTTCGCGTAGGAGCTATTAATTTCTTGCACATTTAATTTGTTAGCCCGCGAGACGGAATTGGAACTTGTGTGTGTGTTTGTGTTTGTAGGCGTGACCCTGTTTTGCGTAATTCAATCAGATAGGAAATTGCTTTCTGTGAAACAAAATAAATCTCCGTCAAATTTGAGAAAATATGCTTTGTTCGCGACAAAAATTACGCTTTTTTATTTGTAACGAGATATTTAATAAAAATTTGTATTTTATTGAATTGAAGAAATTACACGTGTTTCGCGCGCGCGTGCGACAGCTGCGAGTTTGTCAATCAAAACGAAATATGATTTTAAAATCGACGTGTTTTTTTTATCTTATAAAAAAAACTATTTGCTCTTGTCATTTGCAGCAATTTTGCGGGGAAAAATTTTTTCTTTTTTTTTTTTTTTTTTTGATGAAAGAAGTTAATGTACCGTGCGTATATGGCACAAGGCGAAGACAGTGAAACAAAGTGGGATAAACAACAACGCAGATTTGTGCATTGTATTATTAATAGTTTGACAGTATTTTTAAGTCGGCGGCCATCTACGTCAGTTGACTATCGGAGATTGAAAATATTTTTAGGTTTGATCGATAGCTCCTCTTTCTCTCTCTCTCTTTCTATAAGCGCGTAGAAGGGCGAGCTTTGTGTAGGGGCCGTACAATTTGCATAGGTTGCGATCGCGCACGACAGTCCCATTAGCATAAAACGCTAAATTCGTAATCGACTGTAAAACCGGTACTGACTAAAACCACAAGCGATCATTCGATTGATTACGACTCGTTCTTTTGCGTGGGGGGGAAAGAATTTTATGGTCACTTGACCGCTGAAAACCACTCGCGTTAAAAGCGGAGGAAAGCAATGGGGACAAGGAAGACTCGCACGAGCGAAGATTCCGATATAAGTTTCTAGTACTCTGCCGTAGAAGGAGAATATTAAAAAAAAAAAACCCAATAATGATTATAAATATTTATAAAAACATTTGAAATAAATTTCAGAAGAAACTATTTTTTAACAAAGAGGTTCTACACCTAAAAATTTCTGAGATCTAAAAATTTCAACATTTTACGTCCGATTTCAGGCGAGAAGGTGTTAAACAATGACGCGGTATTAAAATTCATTTGCGTAATTGCATAACGGAACATTGAATTATTCACTATCCTTTTTCCGCTCTCTGCGATGAAAATAAATGTCGGTGCCCCGAGTGCATAGATTATGGATGGATGGAAACTCTCGGAAGGTTCGTTCCGTGAAAAGTTCGCCTAATTCTCTTCGTGACATATTGCGACTGACATGCTCTTATTGTGCGTTACTGCGGTATTCCCGCGGGAGTTAGAGAGAGCGTGTCCCGTTAGGATTCGAAAGAAGCCCTTTCCTCTCCTCGCGACACGTGCGGACTATCGTTTCTCCCGGTAATGATAGTCCCTTAAGGGAAACGAAGCCTTTTAACGCACCGAAGACAAATATTCGTAGGTAGGTTTTTAATTGGACATTGGGAGAGGCGGTTGCGGTTTTTCAAACACAAAGCTGCGACGACGACGTATCGATGACGACACAGAAACTGTGTATATCTGATTTACACTGTAAATTACGTGTGCATTATACAAATTTTACACATTAACTCGTCCTGTAGCCAATTTGTTAGTTCATCGATTGCATCATCAACAGTGTGCCACCCGTATCGGGGTTAAATATCGCCAGTCCAATCACCAAGAGTTAATTGGTTCGTGCCGGTAATGCACCTTGATTAACCGGTTATCACGATAACAACATAACTGCGAGAGTGATTTATTAATTACGACCCTTAAGCCGATATCCCGTAATAATTTTATTATCGAGAGATATTGTGCACTGAAGAGTAACAACGCGCACGCACACACACATACACACTCACCTGCCAACCTTGAAGCAGGAGATTTCTGTCGACAGTTCTGAGCCACATAACAGCGTCGCCGGCCTGGAAGTCCCTTAAGCGGGTGCATTTCCTGTGCAGGAAGACACCGAGGCACTTGAGCAATTCCGAGGTGGAGGCCTGGATGACGGTTTTTCTTGGTCCAGGAGGCAGAGGCTTCTGCACCAATTTCTCACACGTCGGATTGTGCGTGGTATGATTATTGTTCGACGCCGGTGGCTTTGTCTGAATCAAATCGACGGAAAAGTTACCGTTTGATATAAAGAGTTTTGTTTGTATTAAAAAAAATTGTTCCACTGTGATAAAAAAAAAAAAGAGTAATATAGAATTACAGAAAAAATGCATTGAAAGGAAAGCAAAGGTTTTACGAAGTAGCGTTTTTCTCGCGTAGTTTTTTTTAGATTAATTTTGAATTTCGTAGAGTCAATACAAACACATTTCGTATCGACGAATTATCTTTCGATAACGTGATCGAATGTAATTGAATGATTGAATAATTGTTAATGTATATTTGATAATTATGTAGAGAACGGTAATTTATACATAATATATTATTACCGAATTAATAAAATGTATAACAGAGATCTAGTTTCATTTTTGCTTGGTTTTTACATGTTAATTCGTAAACTGAAAATGCGCAGAAATAATTCAAGAAAGGTAAAATTATTACGACAACGTAAAACTTTATAAAAAAAAAAAAAAGAAACTGCAGTATATACTACACACAAAAGGAGATATAAAGTCGATCGATACGCTTTCGATCGCGTCTGGGGTCAAAGCACGTTGTATATTTCATTTCTTTCTATAAATTGCTTCTTCGTTATCGGTCTTTACACTTTTCTAGACACAACAGGTAAAAAACGCATGTTTTCTATAATTGTATATTACTCCATTTTGCTCGTTCCCTATCACATTTGTTATATAATTCTTTGTGAATCAATCTCACGTTTTCTTCGTGACAAATAAATATCGCCGATTTCTAAGATATCAGAATGATCTAAAAAAAAAATATTGTTTCTACTCACCTGCGGCGTTTGTATATTTTTATTCTTATCAACGATAGGTATATTATCGAGTGGCTGCCTGAAGGAAATGTTTTTGTTCTTGTTGTCGAGTTTTTTCTTGTTGTTGTTCGTTGTACTGAACCGCTTCCACGACAGGGCATTTATAAACAGCGAGTGTTTCTTGAGATTCTTCTCCAGGGCGTTCTTCTCCGAAATGATTCTTGCGTTGTCGTTGTTGTTTAGATTAATGTTATTGTTCTGCAGCGAGTTGTTATTGGTCGGTGGATGATTCGTGGGTGGCGCCGGCGCCACTGTGGCAACGCTGCTCTTGTTCTCGCGATTCTTCGCGTTGTTTAGCTGTTCGTAATTGAAATTGTTCAGCGTAAAGTCCACGGAATGCTGATGTCCCGCCGCCGGGTAACGGCGATCCCGCGGACTAAACGATAATACAGTCCCCATGCTGTGGCTACGCTGTTCCAGATGCGGATGTTGCAGTTGAGCTTGTTGCTGTTGTTGCTGTTGCTGCTGCTGCTGCTGCTGCTGTTGGGGTTGTTCCCGTCCGCTTTGTGTCGGATGAGTTGGATTTTGCGATTGGCGACTCACGTTCTCCCGTCCCGGACTATTTGGATTGCCGGGATTTTGAGTCGGCTGGCCGCCGGGGTTCTGGTGATTTCCCGGATTTCCGGGATTGTGACCAGGATTGTGACCGGGGTTGTGTCCCGGGTTGTGTCCCGGGTTGTGCCCCGGATTGTGCCCCGGATTGTGGCCCGGGTTGTGGCCTGGATTGTGACCTGAGTTGTGGCCTGGGTTATGACCTGGGTTGTGACCTGGGTTGTGACCTGGGTTATGACCGGGGTTATGACCGGGATTGCCCGGGTTATGGGGCGAGTGGTTCGAGTTACGATGCCCGGGATTGTGGGACTGATGTCCCGGATTATGGGACGTGGCGGGCGGTGGTCTTGGCGGACTCGGTGTAGTGACACGTCGCGGCGGTGGCGGGGGTACTCGAGGAACCGAGGACTCCCTCGGGGGTCCCGTCAGCGGGGTCGCATCCCCTGGCTCAATGGCCTCCTCCACGACGGGACCCACCACCTCGCTCAACCGACCTCCCAGCCTGCTGATTTCTGCTTTCGACTTGAAGGACACTACTATTCCTTCTTCCCGCGCTGTGGAACGTGTTTCCCTTTTCTCTGCCAAACTTCTTGTATCTTCTTATTGGACTAAGCAAAATTTCGCGATAACCTCTCCGCTGGGGGAGAGCGTCAAAAAAAATATGGCGGTTCTCGACAATGACTAACGAGTGAACAAACACGAGACGTACTCGGAGAAATAGAGACACGCGAGTTTATATTTTGTTCCTTTCACTTAACGTTAGGTCCTCACAGATGCACAGTCTCTGTATCTTCCGTATCGCCGAAGATATCACGCGGCAAGATGTCGTCGATACGCGCAAAAGATGTCGGCCGTCGCGCAAAATGGCGTGCGATCGATGCTTTACCACCCTCCGTCTCTCGGAGGGAGGATGGGTCAGGTAAAACGAAAACACTGGAGCGACGCACCGAGACCACTCGATATTCCAAACTCCTGACCTCCGCGTGTGTCGTATCTGCTTGCTCCCTCGACAGCTGTAGACACTTTCTCAGGTCGCACTCTCGATGCACTCTTTTTTCGCACTCTTGATCTCGCAATCGGATCACGGCGACGTGGTCCAGAAATATCTCGGATCTCTTCTTGTTTTTTAAATTTAAGACTCGATCACGTCTCGAACTACCAACTACTGATGCTCTTCCTTGCCAGTGTCGATCTCCCAAGATTTTGTTATTTTTTTTACGCTCGTTGCCTTGTCGAATCCGATGTTTTGATGCGGCTTCGAAATCACTTCGAGATTGCACTCGTAGGATCTCTGCAAACGACGTGCGTATATTGGGGGGGTAGCTTCACTTTGCGGGTCGCTGACAACAAACACAACGCGCGCACTTCCTCTGAAAATCACCGAATGGAAAAAACTAAATGAGTGACTCCGTCGGCAGGCGAACTGTTTCTCTTCGTCGCGCGGCGAGTTTTGCTAACGGTCTGCTTGGCGCTCGTCCTCGGCGACGTCGACGTCGCCGCCGTCGTCCTCGTCGTCGTCGGTCGGCCGTGCGTCCACCACCTACCTACGTCTACGGCCAACCAAGACGTCGCACGCCCCGTAACTGTTATCGGTGCGCGCGCAGTGGTTCGATAAACGCGGAACGTCGATGGTCGGGGGTGGAAGCGGATGGCGCGCGAAGAACGAAGAAAGAGAATGGAACAGCGGGAGCGAGAAGGAGCGTGAAAGGGTGCGCTAAGGGCGGTCGAGGGTGCGTAGGGGTGCGCGTCGCGAAGGTAAAACGGAAAGAGCGTTCCAAGGAGCGAGAAAGACGGAGGAACGCGAGACGCGGAAAATGAGAGAGAGAGAGAGAGAGAGAGGGTGGCGATCGAGAAAGGGCGAGTTCGCGTGCATCGCGGCCACGGCTGTGTATGCGCCTAAAAAACTTTTTTCTCTGTCATAATCCCAGAAAATCCCCGGGAGAGAAGACTGGTCGAGAGATTTGATCTCTCTTTCTCTCTCGGACCGATCGCAGAAATACCGTCCAAGAAATGTTTTCTAGGAAGGGCGCCGCCGCTGTTTCGTGTCGTGAACGTAGGTCGAGATTCTCCGCAAAAGAGGATGCGAGAAATTGAATGAAAGTAGGACGCGCAGCAACGCACAATGTAAATAAGCGTGACCCGTGCACGAGCCTCGGAAAGTTCGATGTTTTCCTCAGCGAGTCGCTTATATACACAGCAAAAGTTCACAGATTTACATGTGATCCACTATATGCACAATTTTCCGCATAAATCTCTACTTGTATTGTAAGACCGTAATTCTGTCTGCGCGTTTTCCGCAAATCTACGGGATGGATTCGCGACGTGTTAATGAGTAAAAGCAATTTGATAATTTGTTTTTCTCACACAGCAAAAAAAAAAAAAAAATGCGAACAAACACAATTAGTAGAAAAGCATAACAGTTCATGTGCGTTTATTGGCCGACATGTACGCCTAAAAATATCTTGTATAAGATACTTTGAGACGCAAATAATCTCAGAGTAAAAGCTACATCACATTATCAACCGCATGAAACTCGATAAAATGCAGTTTCCTATAACGAGCAACGTCGATAATGCGCTGATAATAACTTATTTTCATTTTTCCAAGCGTGCAATATCGTCAGAGAGAAAGAGAGAGAGAGAGAGAGAGAGAGAGAGAGAGAGAGAATTAAATTAGTTCTATATATATTTTAAAAAAGTAATTAAAATTTAATTTAATTCTTCATAAATGTGTCAGCAGGAGACTGCTTTAGTGTATTTTTTTTTTACGTCAAACGTATGTATAAAAAAATCTTGATATAAAATCTGCCGTGACAGACTATTTATAATATCAGAGGGTTTATATAGCGAGTTCATAATTGTTGTGGGAGACGTAAATTTCGACCACTTTCGATCCACGGAGATACATTTTGGATTGAAAACAATCCTGCGATTTTTCTCTGTGATACACACACACACACACACTTTATTTACTTTCTCGATTTGTTCTGCGCTTAACAGATCGCTATAAATTTCATTATCCCGAACCGTTAGATAAGGCGAGGACCGAATAATGCATCTTGTAGTTAGTGGTAATGCAGGTCGAGCCCCGTGGGACGAGAGAAGGGTGAAAATTTCACGTAACCTGCTTTTCTTCGGAGCTGGAACAAGGTCAGAGCGCGATGCAGAGCTCCGAAGGGCGGTGATAAGAGGGGAAGAGATGGGTGGCGGGCGGGCAGGTGGTACCGCGCACGTGTGCACAAGCCGGAGGACACCAGCTCGTGGACACACAGCTCGGCTGTTCACGCGACGACAGGCGACCGATACCTGCTGCTATAGGAGAGATGCGCGAAATAATGTCGCATTGTGTGCCGCGCGCTCGTGGACATCTGAGCTGTTGGGGAAGGTCGCGATTTCCGCCGCTTCGCACTCGCCACAGGCGGGGAAAGGAGAGAAAGAGAGAATGAGAGATCGTACACGAACAACAAATGAATCTCTCTCATTTTTTTCGCGCGTAATCGCGAAAACATGCGTTTTCTCAATTTTTTTTCTATTCTACATCCGTAAATTCCACAATTTCAAAAAAATTCTGTTTTTTACGTAGAAAACAAAATTAAAGCGAAAGGTGTTCTCCTGTAGGAACGCGAGCCTTTCTCGATTTAGTGACGATCAATAACGAGGATTCATTATGAAGGTCCATTCCCGACCGCGCCGAAGACGACGAGAAGAGAAGATGGCGCGGCTCGAAGATGAATACTTATTAAAAGATGAATCTCTCTCCGCGCATTTGTGTGCGGAGGAAGAATCGCAGCTGCCAACAGAGAAACGCGCTCGTATTGATTCCGATTTAAAAGCTACTCCCGATGGGGAAAAGTTATTTTTGCGCGCGTCGGAAAATAGGATTGTGATTAGCAAACGCTCTCGTGTTTGCTTTATCGTATTTCACACTCCGTGACACATTTCGACGTATCTAAAAGAGCGCGCGCTTTGTATTCCTTCGTAAAAAAAACCTTTTACAATCGACGACCGGATTTCACACAAGAAACAACTTGCACGCGCAAATGTCTAACACACACACACACACGCCTACTAACTGGAATTCTGAAACGCAGTTTCAGTTTGCACGTGTTTTCATTAATTTGCGCGAGCGTCGAGCAACTCCTCAATTCCAAGCTTAACAAAATATCGCGCGATGTATCGTACGATGAATATTAAAAACCGGCGAGATATTCCACAGACCGCGAATCGCGTCGAGAATGAAAATTACACACATTTGTGGGCAAAGCTTATGTTGTCTTCGCGGCGTAATAAAAAAACTGTATAAATAAATTAAATACAAATATAAATAAATAAATAAATTCAACATATGAAAAAAAAAAACACGTGCGACTGTCGGAGACGAAGAAACAAAAAGAATTTACGAGAGAGACTTTTCGTCGGAGATAAGAAAATGGATTTTTGCGAGGAGAAGAAACTGCCGAGATATCTCTCGACTTTAAGGGATTTTCCAGACCGCCTCTGCCCACGGCTGCATCTTCGGCGACATTCACTCGCCGAGTTCTGTCGACAGACACAACACACTCACGCACACATTTTCACGATATTCCCGTGCGCATTCATTAATACTTTCGAAAAAGAGCCATTTATCATCAAAAATAAACAATCTCTTCTCTCGGGAAATATTTCAAAATTTTCACTCAAAATTCAGGTTTTCTTTGCATTTTTTTTATTTATATTCTTTTTTGGGAAGGGAAAAAAACGTTACACAGAATTCTTCTACAGAGAAAAGTTATTAACTGTTCAAATATTGATCCGAATGTTACGAAACTTCCACCGATACTCGTCGACCGTACATTAAGTAGTCTACTTTGTACATAATCAGACGCGATTCGGTCGATTGAGCAAACACATCAATCGTGAGAAGTATCTCTGTTTCCAGTAATCAACGTTACACGTATTTAACGTGTGACCGTAATTTTTATTTAATGTCTGGGATGAATTTAGACAATTTTTTTTTAAACGGCACAAAACGTCACGTCTCGCGGGATCTCAAAATTTGTCACCAAATTCTCGGAAGTTGGTCGCCAAATACGTCAGAGCGTATCACTGAATTTCGCACAGGACTAAACTAACTAACCGCGAGACGCGACGAACGCGAGGAATGCATCGGCTAGTTAGAAAAGTTTTCGAACGGAGTTTGAGGAAAAAAAACAGATAAGTTACGTTAAGTAAGGATATCGTACACGCGTAATTTTTTCTCAAAAAGGGAGCCGCGAGGGAAACGCGACCGTTGTTTCAATTTTCAATAACAAATGCAAATTTGTGCTGACAATTTGAGACCGCAGAAGCTTATCAGGTTACGCACCGAGCTTTCTCCCCTTCCCCTATTCAAGTGACACGAGAGACGCGTTAAGGCGGGTCAGTTGCACCGGCGAGGTGCAAACGTCACGGGACGAAAATCGTATATTTTCGTACACAACATGCGTCATTGCAAAAGCAAGTATCGTTTCACCGGCGAAATTAACTCTGTAAACAAAAAAAAAATCATTAGCTTCCTTCTTCCGTCCATGAGTTAAAAATCGCTGGCAACTGCGAACCGCGAGCGTCATAAATAGGTAAGTAATGAACAAAGTCCTACGCGCGTTCTACTTGTATCAATTACCTCTCGACGCTCGCGAGTTTTCCCGACTAATCGAGCGTGCGATCTCGTTGTCCCTCCATCGGAGTGTCTGGGAGAGAAAAAATGGCACGTAACGTGCAGATTGTGGAATCAGCGGCGGACGGACGTCGCTCCGGGGCAGATAATGGAGCGTGACGAATCTCTGATTGCTCGCTCTGAGGAGAGAGTGAAAGAGAGAGAGAGAGAGAGAGATGCTATTGGACGGCGATAAAAAAAAGTAGCAGGTGTCAGCCGGCGGTGCAAAAGCGAGGCTAAAAATATCGACGTTCGCTCGCGTCGCGTTGGCGTAAAATCGCGGCTCGTTCACGCGGCGTGTCCATTGATGTGACCCCGATACGTAGTCGCGATGTTCGTCGACTCTGAAAAAAAGAGAAGAAAAAAAAACAAAGAGCACATCGTCTTTTGTCGTATGCGACAAAGTGGCAATGGGCGCGATGGACGCGTTTCGACTTCATTTCTCTCCGAGAGGATTATATTCCAACGGAACGGGCGTAGTATCCTTGGCAACTTGTCATCGCGCACAATTGTTTCCTTGTATTCTTCTGACCGGCTTGAAAAAAAAAAAAAAAAAAAAAAAAAAAAAAAAAAACCAAGAAAAGCGCCTAGTTCTTTGTCTCTCTTGATAAGTTGGAAATAAACTGTACGTCTTTGTAGTTATAAATAATGAAACGGAGTGCTAAGTTTGCGCCGCGAGTCGCGAGATTGTAAGTGGGCGATGAGAGAGATCTACCCGTGAAGACTCGTCTCGTTCTTGGATTATCAGCCAGGAGAAGCAACTGAACTGTGAGGAAGAGAGATAATGGAAGTGTCAAGATGTTAATGCGCAAGAAACTCTCTCTCCCGCCGATTCCGACGTTAAATTGTGTGTCGGGGATAATAAAAGGAACAGAGTTTCTCCCGCAAAGAGACACGTACGTAAAAGACGCGAGTTTTTTTTTTCTCACTGGGGTGAAAATTCAAATGGGACGCGATGTCGTTTAAAAATATCGTAACAAAGTCAAATCGGACGGGACGTTTGGAGATGTGCAAAGAACTTGCAGACAGAACCACGGAGGACGTCATCCCCTTTAGAGTAGGGCTGCAGACAGACAAACCCTCCAGGCTCCCCCTCTCCTCTCCCCCACCTTCCACTGTCTCATTGCCATAGCAACCCCTTGCATTCAGCAGCTAGCCAACCCCTGTGTCGTCTCGCTTCGTTGTACAGAGGAACATAGTTCTACTTTTCCCCTTTGCATTTTAATTCAGCCCGGCGCAAAGGCCTCAAGAATTCGACGATAAATTGACGCGAGAATACTGTCGGCTATTTTTTTCACAACGAGGTCAAAATACCTTTCCCTTTGACGTTTTTTTTCTCTAAAGAAAACAAACGAAACAAAATTCGGATCTCTCGAAATTATTCAAATGAGGATCGCGAAGGATGTGCGCGCCCAGCGAAAGTATTCGCAAATAACTCGGGACTTATAAATTGTGCAAAATTGAGCTGGACAAAGAAAGAAAGCACATATAATTTAAAAAAAAGAAAAAAAAAAAACTAAAAACACACCCACCTCAATACATTTGAACTGAGTGCATTGCGGCAGTCGCGCTCCGTAAACTCATCAGACAGTTCAACGGGCCGGATGATTATCGGACGGTAGTTTCTCAAGTGCTTCGCATTTTTGTCGTCGTTTCAACTGTGTCGAATTCGACGCGTCACGAAGGGGAATTCACTCGCGACAGAGGGTCTCGCGACGACCGCGTCGTCTTCTCGTCTATTTATCATCAGTTCCGCGCCGAGGTCGAGTAGTAGTACCGTACAGGCGACAGTATCGACGACACACCAGTCGACAAAACTCGCATTGAAAGGGCTCGATTGTGAAAAATCCGGCGTGTCGTAAATCTCTCTCGTCGCGACTACATAGGAGCGGAAAAATGAAAATGCTTCCTGTACTCGGGACCATCGTGGCTCTGATCGCCGGCCAGGATCCGAAAACCGTCGCGTTCCCGCCGAACGGAAACGGCTCGTCCTCCTCGGAGGCGGGAAATAACATCGAGCTGCAGCCGGATGTGACGCGCGGCGGAATGGCCGCGTTGGTCCCCGCAGCCCTCGTACCGCCGCAGCCGCAGCCGATGATGCCCTCGGATTACTTTTTCCCCGGTAAAGATTTTTCTATTTTAGTTCGCGCGCTAAGACGGTGCTCGCGCGTTTGATCGCACTCTTGTCCTTTGTGACGCGACTGTAATCAGGCCTCGACCAGGCGTCGCGCTTCGATTGTCGCGTTAAGAGCATCAAAGAAGTCAGTTTTGAAATTTCAAGTACATTGTTCCCGTGATGCGCTGCCGATCACTGCAGCAAAAAAAATAAATAAATAAAAACGAGGCGCGTAAATCGAATAAGCGTAAAAAAAAACGTCGAACGTTTTTAAAAAAACTGATGTCCGAAGCGGATTCAAGGCGCGCGAAAATCGAACCGCAGCTAGCTTTCTCTTTTGCGTTAACCAGATCGTCGCGAACGCTTTTAAAACGACGAAAAGCTGTTTCAGTGCCTCCACGAACGTTCCTGCATCACAGAAGCGAAAACATACCTTACGGGTACGAGTATCCCAACGTCGGGTATCCGATGGCGCACTCGATAGAGCATTCTGTTGTACCCACGTCGAAGCAGCTTGTAATAGTCAGTTTCATCGGTCTTCTGCTGCTCTTGGCGATCATACAGAACACGCTAAGTGCGGTTAAGCGGAAGGACGCGATTATGGATCTGCTGTCGTCCAGACAGAAGCGGGAAGTTTACGCCGCACATGATTTTCGTCCTGTGGTACGAATTCATTTATTGAAAAAAAAAAAAAAGAAAATTAAAATTGCTGAACTTGTGAGAAACGAAAATAAATCGAGCAGAAACCGCGCGGTTTCGAATCTCTGAAAATTTAGATAAAAATTGTCACAGATTTTTTCGAAAATACATTTCTCTCAATTTTCGAAAAACAAATTTGCGAAATTGCAAAGTTTTCCGTCAGCAACGGCAGTAAGTAACAATTTGACGAACCCGGCAGATTTGCCGGGATGTTCCGGGGTTAATTGCGTTTAAAAACATTTCGTTCTCGGCCGAACGAAATTGCCTGAGTAAATCACGACGGGTAAAAATTCCGGCGCGGTGAAAATGATAAAATACTCGGTGCGGTGATATTAAGATTTTCATTTTCTCGCTGAACATTTAGACGCCGGAGGAGGAGGAGATTCTCAACAGCGACGCTCGAGTGCGATGCATACAGAGAACGATATGTCACGAGAATCGCAAGCTCTTCCGTGACCTGGGCGCACCGGGCAAAATGCTGGCGAAGTACTTAACGTGAGTTTTTTTTTATCCGCTGTGTTCGCGCGCGAAAGAGAGCACTCTCGGAATTTTCTTTTCCCACCGTCACGTTCGTATTCTTTCGCAGGAGAGACATAGAGAAATCATTGGGGCCGTCGTCCTCGGGCTGGGATCGTCTCGTGAGGGACGCGGGCGCAGCGGGAATTCGAGGGGAGAACTGCGACGTGCTTTACAGAGACTGCGACGCTCCGGTGGTGATAAGAAACATGCGTGCAGCTCCGAACAACGTCTTGACCAACACGAACCGCCGTGACGGTCCTAATTAATTAATTAATCAATATAAATTGTTACACACATGCATTAAATATATAACGTGGTTGCTGGTTGAATGAATAAAAAGACCGGCGGTATATTAATGACTTTTTATAATTTTAATTACAATATGCTGTGTGCTGCCTTGTTTCTTTATTTGCTACAAACATCGACATCTAGCTTGACCTATTTTAGATAGCGGTTCGCTATGAGACACACACTTCGCTTACACATTCGTTCTCGCTTTCTCTCTCTCTGGCTTTCTTCGGGGATTATAAGAAAATATCAAATATCGCGAACAAAACGGAGACATCGATCGCGTCTTCGGGACTATGTATATGTATGTACGTATGTGTGTATGTATGTTTGCGTGTATGTGGTCTGTGTGTGTACATTTGCCTCGCTTATATATTTCCATAAGTATCGTCTCTTCCCGTCGGCTGATTACACAATATAATAACGTATCCAATATTATCATTAACATTAAGGCATTTATATGCTCTCGAGTTCTATATGCATCGATTTATGCGTCAATTAATCGGTATCTCTTGTTACATAACACGCTAGACGCGTAAACCTACACTTAATAACGTGAGATCGCTCGTTGAAATAGTCCAGGGCTGCATTCCCGGATCTGAGAGTGGCGCGAAGAGATTCGCTTCTCGATAAAAAAACAAAATGAAAGCAACACATTGCGGATAAAAGCCCGATTCGTTTAGGAGTTTGCATTTTTATAGAGAATTTTCCGAATCGCGCTCCCATCCCCGACCGAGAGTGGGAGGATATAAATTCTACTAAATTTCGAACGAAATTTGTTGCACGTAACAAATATATCGTATATAGCACGCAACGCGTGCAATGGAATTGCAGTTTTCCCTTCCCTCCCGCCCCCGTTTTCGAATCCGTTCGAATCAGCAAAATTTGTTTCTGGTTTGCTCCCGATTACCATCTCTCTGCATTCTGCAGAATCGACTGATTGCGAGTGGAATGCAGCCCGGATCTGTTGTATAACTTTTAACGCACGCGCGTTGCAACAATTTGTTTTTTGTTTTTTTTTTTAAATTAAAAACAAAAAAGAGGTAAAAAAGGCGTCGCACAAACGCCCTTTAGAAAACTTTTTTTTTTTTTTATAAAGAATAGTTTTTTTGGGGATTAGTTGCGTATTACATAATATCATGCAAAATAAATGAATACAATTCGCAATTGAAACGCATGCGGATTTTTGTTTACCTACAATAACTTACGCGTTAAAATAGTTTTCGTAACGCTTTTACAACTCTGTAACCCGTAAATGCATCTTCGCGCATGAACATCGCCATAGCGTTGCGTTACGAGCAAGCAAGCTTTTGTAATCCGAATTAATCGACGTAATTCTTTCATCAATGGGAATTACACAAAAGAGATAAAGAACGTTTCTTTCCCTCTCCTCCCACCCCTCTCTCTTGATTAAATTACAGTCCGCAGATCCATGCGTCGAGCTCGCATTGGCTTCAATTAAGTTTCAAATTGATCGCCCGCACCGCTTTATACACGTGTTATTATTTTGTTTTTACAAGTCACTTAGTATAAAATTCGAATATCACACATATATAAAGTATAAGGGTTTTTATACAATTTTTGTATTATCTTATTCTATCCCCCAATATTGATTCGTATTTTCATTTTCTAAATTTTTACAATTGTTTGTTTTTTTTTTTTTTTTTTAGAATAATTCCGTCGTCTCGAAAACACACAAGAAAAAAAAAGAAAGAACGTGTGAGATGCATTTACGTACTTGGTTTGGTTTAATATTTAGTTCAGTACAAAGGTTCAAATCCGCGTTCGGGTAAGAAAATGAATTTTTCGCAGCTCTCGACAGAAAAAAAGACGGTCGACGACGAATTTCCGCTCCTCGTTAAAAATAACAAATTGCTTCTTAAAATTCATTTTATTATAACGAGATTATTACTCTCCGCACATAACTAATTAATATACCTAAAATTTTTTTACAAACAAAGCAGAGCGCACACATTGCTACGTGTGAAACCACTTTGTTTATAAACAAGGAATTTGTAAATAAATTGATGTTCGTTACCAAAGTGCCAATAAGAGTCAACAGTACACAGTTGTAGCTCCGTCTAGTTGCGTGGAGTGTCGCACCAAGAAAAAAAAACAAACATAAATCTTATTAAACTTTTCTCAACTTTTTGCAATTGTATTTAATAATCGATTGTTTTTAACTACATAAAATTAAGACAAGTTTTTTTTAAACTTAAATGCGACTTCTTAAAGGAGACGTGATTACTTTCTAAAACGAGATATACAATTTTAGAATATATGATCAATATTGTGCATTAAAATTCAGCACTTGATTATCTGGTGCTCGGCGTACAAATTTTCTGCCTCGAAGGCAATGAGGGGGCAGTTTGGTTACGACCGAAACTTTGTTTTTTTTTTTCCGCCCTAGACAACGTTCGATTTGGATCAAAAAGAAGGATATCTATGTAATTTGTTTTAATGCTTGTAAAGTTTGGAGAAAATTGGTGCGAGTTTTCCGTCTGAAATCTTACGTCATTTTCTCAATCGAAGAAAAACACTTTCTACCAAAATATCACAAAATTAAAATCCGTGAGACAGTCACTCTCCGTGTCAATTTGATTAGATTACTTTTATTCATCACTTTTCACCAAAATTATATATACACTGCGCGTTTTCAAGGATTTGTTGATAATTGCATCGAGTCCGCATCTCTCTCTGTAAACGTGACAATTTACAATTTGAAGAAGAAGAAAACAAAAAAACGGAAAGAAAAGAGATCTTGAATATATAAATATACATTAAGGTCCGATTTCTTCATACCTCCCGATAGCTATCCTCTGGATATAAAGATATACAAAAAGATATACTTTATCTTTTAGATAAACTTATCGAGAACTTATCAGAGGTGAAAAAATTGGGCATAAATGTATTTCATTTAGGCAAATATATAAGTACGGTCGTGTTCGGGCAATGTATGCTCGATCGTGCCAAAACGCAATTACACATTACGGACTTATAGACTTTCCTTAGATTTTCGCTGATTTGTTTTCAATTAAACTAATATAAATTTGCTATTGACGTTCTTCTTCAAGATCGTTCACGTCATCATTTGCACGAAGGACACGTGGGACAATTCGCGTTGAAGAAACAAAAGAAACCAATAAAACCGTTACAACAGCTGTAACGGGAAAATTTTTACCGCATGCAAACAGAGATGTGTGAGGCGGTCTCTCATTGTTTAAAAGCTATAGTGGTTTATATTGTTTATATGCAATCGATCGATGTAGATACAAATTCTACCCTTGTTACAATATTATCACGACAGTAATTTACAGTCATCACTTGGCAGCCAAGAACAGTGTTTTTCTTGATTCGCAGAATTGGGTTTTGTTTTTTTTTGTCTTCAGTCACGTGTGCGAATTTTATTTTAAGATTAAATATACATGCTACTAGGAATGGCTCGTGTCAATAGAAGCTAGACTCCCGCGCTAGCTTCTCTCTCAGTTTGTAACGCATTAAAAAAAAAAAACAAAAAAAAAACAAAAAAAAAAAACAAAAAACAAAAAACAAATGATTCTTACACATAAGTATATAAAATAAAATACATACTTTATATACACTACTAAGGTCGAAGAGAAGAATTGATAAGTGACACTAACGGAGTTCAAGTCCAAAAAACATCGAATATTAATCGATGTGTTTCGAATTAAGAGCAATCGGAAGAAAACGAGTAATCGGAGGTTCAACACGTCGATTACTTGATCACTTAGTTTAATTGACAGATTGAATAATGATGTAATGATCCTCGATCGAAGAGAATAATTAATTAACGCACAAGGCTTGGTTAGAGCTCAACAGGAGAGAACAGTCGTTTGAAAAACGAAAGATTTGGTCAAACTGCGCAAAATTTTTGATTTTAAAAGTGCTTGGAATTAGTTTTAAATAATATTCTGTATAACTGGCAGAGCTCGTCGGTCCGCGTATATATATATGTACATATATGTGGGTATATGTATATATGTATATATATATGTATATATATATATTTATATATATACACTATATTTAAAAACAAGATATATTGATACATTTACTAAAGAAGAATAAATTCCACATTCAAGCAAACTTATATTTCCAACATTGCTGAACTTTAAGCAATATAACAAACAAATATTGTGCTCAGATCAAAAACGGATACAGTCAATGTTTTCTTCTTACATCTCTAGAGTTTTTCTGCGACCGTTTTGTTAATTTTCGTTTTGATCCCGGCAGAAATTAAAAGAATACAAATATCGGTATTATATTTTCAAAAACAACTTATGCATATAAAATTATGTATCTCGCAAAGAATTGATATTTAGATTTACATATCACACATTTGGATCCTAATCAGAAATAACCAAATCACAATTGTTGTAAGCTAAATTATTCTCCTCTTCCTCTCTTAAGTTAACAATTTAAACAAGTAAAACCTCAAATCATATAAGCGATTGCCAGTAAAGTACTTTGGTCTTTTTTTTTCGTTTTTTCTTTTTTTATATAGTTTCACATAAATTTTGAAAGCAACACCGACTCTCGGTGAAATTAATTTTACACGTACTTTTTTTTTTTTATAGCGAGAAATACAGTCGCGAGTCAAAGAAAATGTTCGTTTTCTTGGCGCTACGTACACAAAACGTCATATACAAATAATAATGTATCGATCGATCACATACACATCAATCTTTCTCTTGTGTTTCTCGGTACACATTTTTCATTTCTATCGTACAAAAATTGAATCCCACGATGACGATATCCGGACTACAACTATTTGCTTGGATATCAAAATCATAGGTACAGAAAAACAGTTCTTTTTTGTTTCATGAGCGACCTAGGGAGGAAGTTCTTGAGGATTGAAGGTCCTCACGTTAAAAAAAAGAACAAAAAAAAACAAAACAAAAACAATTTTCTCTACCTGTGATTTTACACACACGTGGGGTGAATTAAGTAATATTCTGCATACCAGACTAATCACGATAACGGGTCCGAGTAATTAATTAAAGTATTGGGCACAATATACTAAATGTGTACTAGTATTAATATTAATGATAATAATTCACAATAATAGTTATTTTGTACAGTATTGAACATATACATTTCTCCTATCTCGTGTCTCTCTCTCTCTCTATTTGTCGTGTGTTCCATTCTTGACGCGTGTTCCTAGGCAATTCATGTATAAAAGAAAAAACACAAACAGCGTCGCGGTTCAACGGGCGGCAGTAAGTGATGGTAACTTACGGAAAAACCTTCCTAGTGTTTTTTCTTAGTGTGTGTGTGTGTGTGTGTGTGTGTGTGTAGAGAGCACGCGCGAGTGTGTAATTGATTAGTTTCCCTCAATTTTCTCGCGTACGATATACGAAATAACACGACATACGAATAACAAATGTACATTAAATCGTGGACACATACATGTACGTACACCAATCGGATAAGCTCGTGAGAAGATGAAACCGAAGAGTATTCGGGCGGATCCGAGCCGCAAAACACAGGTTGTACGTGTGTGTTTTCTTATTAAATATAAAAACCGGTAAAAACCTGTGTTTTAGCTCGCGTCAACTCCGATACTGTGTTATGTACATACACACTCGATGCGCGCCCGCGTCTTCACGCGCGCATACACGCTCGTTCTCGTCTCCACTTAAATTTTTTTACTTTATTCGAGCTGTTCGCACGCAAGAATCAATCTTGGCCAAATGTTGACCCTATCATCGTTGTTGTCTTCGTTTGTGTGTGCGCACGAATGCCGTATGGAAAAAAAAAAAACGACAAAGTAAACCGATAGCTTTGTCGTGCGATGAAGACAGAACGAGGACGACTTTGTTCCTTCGCGCGAGAATCGCGCTGTATCTTCGCCCTTTTATTCAGTCGTTTCCTCTTGTTCCGCGCGCGGTCGTCCGTATCTCGTTTTCAGTGTTTCCATTAAAAAAAAAGAAAAAAACGAAACATCACTGACGACAACACACGCATATCGGACACAGAGGTAACGGACGCAAATTAAATCGGGAAAAGATCGAGTCGTTCTCGCATCCGCTCGTCGTCACTCGCGCGCTGTTCGCGTCTCGTGGAGTCACGTGTCCCTTTTTGCATATCTCGTGACATAAAGAGGTAGCGAAAAACCCAAAAAACGCTCGGCAAGTTCGCAAAGCTGCGCAATCAAAGCTTCCGAGTGCGAGATAGCGGTTTAAAAAAAAAAAAAAAGAAAATGATAATTCGAGAATGAAGAAGGAACGTGATTCGTGATGAAAACGACCGCGATCTACAACGTTTTTGCAACGATCGAATAAAAGCCGCGATTAAAGATACAATTGATAAATTCGGAAGACGCAATACGATCCGAGCACGGACGAAGCTCTCTCAAAGAAAAGCTAGGTGGAGGTGTGGACGAGTGATCTTTAATATAAATCGCGTTTATTTATAGGCTCGTGCGCGTCAGAAATTATAAGATCAAAACGGAGGCCCGACGACGCAAGATGAGAATTTTTTTTATTTTACGTTACACATTTCACACCGACGACGATGAGGTTGTCGATCTCGCATTCGGTCTGCCTATTCCGCACAGAGATATACGGATACAATCTTTGTGGATACATTTTCACAATACACACGTACATCGTCTCGTATATATATATATTTTTAATCAATATATCAATATATGTACAAATCGACATACAGCCGATGACGGTGGTAGTTTTTTTTTTATTTTTTTTTATTTTTTTTTTATCTTTTAACCTAAGCGACAAACGTAAAGAGTAAAGAGATATACTATAGAGACCAGTCGTAAAGGTTTCGCCATACTAATTAGTACAATAGTTACACACTCGATATAATCGGCGTCGTTTACTCAACGTTTTTTTTTTTATTTTTTAAATATTTTTTATTTCGCTGTAACTATTTATACGATCGACGATCCGACAAATTGTTACGATGAAATGTTGTGTGATAAGTATAATCTGACGTCGCATATTATATCATACTTGTGTGTGCCGCCGACCGAAATTCGCCGTACGGCGCGGCAAATTCGGAGACGATTTTTTATTCGTAAATTCTTTGTTCGGAACAAATTTGTGCCAATGCCCGTGATTTAACTCTCGTTTTTTTTTCTCTTAAACATTACAGGTAAATACATGCTATTTTCGCGAAGTCATTAGAGCACTTTGAATCAGTTAGATGTGGATAATTAATTTTAGTAACATGCGTTTTCTTCTTTGTTAAATTTACTTAATATTTTGTTCACCTTTCCTCTCACCAAATCATCAGCATCACGTCGTCTGCTCTTCATCCATTTTTTACCTCCCTTGTTTATTACTCTGCTCTTTGTGTTTACACTTCTGTTCGCACTCTGTTTTTTTTTTCACTCGATCTCTCTCTCTCCCCGCGGAACTCGCAACCGGAAGTTCCTATCTTTCTTTTTGTTTTTTGAACACTGCTAAGGGGGAGATTACGGCGGGGAGAAGGGATGGAAAAATTCGATATCTTCGTTATACCCCGCACTGAATCCTCGTTCTATCTCGTCAAATTTGGTTGGTCTTTTATATTTTTATCCATCGACGCCCACGATACAACACGCATACAGCACTATGTTTCATTAGACCTAGTATATATATATATGTATATATATATATATTTATTTATATATATGCTTAGAAAATACTTGAAAAATCGGTCTATTCATGAGTCTATCACACACACACGTACCAATTTGAATTAACTTTCCCTTCATCGCTAAGTGACACGGCTTCTACCTCGTCGTCGAGACGAGTATTTTATCGAGTTTAGTTTTATTTTCTTTCCGCCCGATTCTTCTCCCTCTTGTTGTTGTTTTGGTTACTCCACTTGATTGCATATCCGCTGTGTGGCCGGCCGGACTAGAGCAAGCCCGCTTGTCCACAATCAAACAAGCGACACGTCCGTATCATAGTCTTCAGACGTGACTAAGCGTTAACTTGTTTTGTTACTGGCCAACTGCGAAACTTCCTTCTTTTTTTTACTTCCTTTTTTCACTTCCCTTTTTTTCTTCTTCTTCTCTGTAAACCACGCGTCTCCGAATTTTCATAGATCGCAATTGTCTCTAAAGTTCCGATTGTCGGTAAAGTTACTACCGAAATAACAAACAAAAACTTACTTAGAACCTGCGCGCTCGCGAAAGTTACCGAACTTGTCGCTTATCGCTATTTGCTAGAATAATGTAATATTCATTTTTTTTTAAATAAATATACAAACAACATAGACACTGACATCACATAATGAAATAAAACTATATAAACAGAAAAACAACAACACATTACTTAAATCGATAACTAATTTTCCGTAAATTTCGTCGAAGCAGTTTTTTTTTTTTGTAGCGGTTTTACTCTCCTTCCGTTTGAGACACGTCATTCTCAAGAAGAAACTCATCGAAGATGACTATAATAAAGTTTTACTCTCTCATCGTTATAAACTTTATATCGCGATAAGAACGCCTTTGTTGACGAGTCACTATCTACAGAATATTTCATCAGTCGTTCCTATCCGCATGTCTTTCGAACGTCTTTTCAACGCGATAACGTGCGGAGACGCGCGGTTAACGGGCTGCTGCTGTCCGTGATGGCGCGTGAGGGGAAAGCGGACGGTCGCCTGTGCGTTGCACGGTGATGTTGTCGCTCGCTGTGATAATCGCAGTCGTAATCGTGGCGGCATCTTGAGGAAATTCACTCGGTGGTTACCTTCGGTCGCGATACAGAAGATACGTCTTCATCGTCTGCGGCAGATTGAGTTCGTTGATCTTCTCCTCTAATCTGTGCTTGCCGATTCGCTGTCTGATCACTCTTCGGCAGAGATCCATGAGAGGGAGAGGTTCGGCTGTGGAAAAATTTAGTTCACGATTAGTAAAAGAAGAAAACACCGGAAATGCGCGTTAACTACATGCGTAACGTTGCTTACGATCAAGTCCACCGATGTATTTCATCGTGATTTCACAGTGTCCCCACACGGCGGACACGATAGGATGCAATTTTCTTCCCTTGAGTCCTCTGAAGGCTATTCCGAGATACTGACCGTCTACTACGAATGCTAACGTACCTTCGTCCATGTCGAGGACCACTGCAAATAAAAACAAAAAAAAAAACGGTTATACATCGTAATTACTCGATTCGTGAGGGAATTGGAGATTAGACAAAGAATACAACACGCTCGCTCACCAAGGAATTTGTCAGGAACAATGAAGGTCTCGTCTGGCTTGAGGAGAGCCGGATACGTCACGCCGTTGTTGTTCTTCGAGTCGTGATAGAGTTTATTTCTACCCAGATCCCAGCCCCAACTGAGCTCGTTGTTGCCCACTAGACTTTGATATCCGACGCTGTGAAGAGGCGCATCTGCCGTCGCGACACCCACCACCGCATGCGTTCCCCGTTGCCTCGTGCTCCAATAAAGCTCCCACACGTGCATACCTTTCGTGTAGCCCATTTTCCCTCGTATGCAGTCTGTGCTCTGAGCGACGGGATGTCGATGAAACGTCAGCTTGTCGTCCTCCTGAAAGAAGCAGAGAAACAACACTCTCAACTTGCAACATTGTAAATAATCAACATAAACACAAACTCATTGCGGATCTACTCTGTTCCTCGAAATTTAATTAAATCGAATTTTTGCGTACGAACCTTGACGAATATGTTTAGACTACGATCTTCGGCGTTCCAGCTGTGATGGAACTGAGTCTCTCTTGACGCTGGCGGCATGTCGAGCAGCACGTCGAGTCGCGCCGGTCTCGAGAAATCCTGCGCCAACTCGCGCGGCACCACCGAGCGTGTGAACGTCGTGTTGTTGCCACCGCCGACGCCGACACCGCCGTTAGTACCGGCACCGCTCTCCCGGCTCATGCTCTTCACACCTCCTACAAACAAGTTTTTCCGTTAACTATACGCGACCGGTTACGTATTCGACGACGATCAATCGATAACAACCTTGATACCACGCGAGCGCCGAGACGAGCGGAATTGTCAATAAACTAACCTAAACCTAAACACGATTCTCGCGGAAGAAAACTTGTGGTACGTACATTCAAAAACGACATTAAGAATAAAAGTTGTACTTTGTGTAAGGAGAGAATATTGTGAAATATCAACGAAGAGTTTTCTCTCTCTCTACCTGGTTTTCTTCGATAGCGCATTTTGTAAACGCGTAGTCTCACGGTAAACCCGATCGTTCGCTACATTTGTATTCTCTAAACACTATTGTACACATTGACTCGCTTTTGTGCGACAGTATTTGGTTTGTCTTCGGCTTATCTGTCTACGTATTATCACGCTCCTGTCAGATTTTTCAAAAAAAAGTCCAGTACCGACGAATGTTAAAAACAAAAACAAAAAAAAACGCGCGAATCACGTAACTGAAACAATTCGCGGGAAATATTGAGGAATTGTTGACAGTATAATTTAACATTATCAAGGAGATACGTATTATTGTTATTATTATCATAAAGTCACACTTGCATAGATGAAGTTTCACGATTTACGTGGAGACGAGCGCGAAACGCGCTTTGTTGTATCGTCGACAGACTGCGCTCAAAGATAATCAAGTTTTCTCCAAGGTCTTATTCGTATTTTACTCTCCGTCGACTGCGAAAGGACAATTGTTGCTGGGAAAGATGGGCAAGTCGTTTTGATTTTTTTTTTTTATACAGAATGTTTAAATCTTTATTTCTTTAAAATACATTAACATGTCGATATATCGAGAAATATCGGAGTGGTCGAATGTGTCGAAAAAAAAAAGAATAAAAAAACCGCGACAAGCCGGTTCTACGAAAATGGGTAAAAGGAAAATGGGAGAGTAATCGACGAACTTAATAACAGCGGCGATTATCCTTGGCGAGAATTGTCCGTGGACTCGAGACTCGGGCCTGTGAGCCTCTTAATGAGAATTGTCGTACGTGGTGAGTAATTAGCCGCAGCGGTCATTACGTCGCAACGGCGCTTAAGCACGACGGGAATACGCGGAGTATAAACTTGACGAGCGCGCGAAAGATTAAAGACGTGGGCGAGAAGAAGAGCTTCGCAGACTAACGCGTCTTGCGCGCGAAAGATCGGCCGAGACGCGAGGAGGAAAACGACATATTTAGCGAGCACGTTAACACGTGTCGCGCGATTTGCATTCGAAGAAACATGATGATTACTTCGTCTTTCGTGCGATTTATTAAGCTCTAATTTTAAACAAAGACGCACAGCGAAGTGTAAAATACAAACATGTGAAAAAGTTCGGGGGAATATTTATGAATTTCTTTTTTATATTTTTCTGAATATCTTCTCTGAATATTTTCGTTGATTTTGTTGTAGATCCGGATTTTACATGCGAGAGTGTCTTTTCCTTAAAATTCGACGCTTTGTCGCATTTCCATATTTCGTTTACGTTCAACGACTCTTCCGTTTAAAGTCACATCTGCAAAATCGATGACGACATTCAACAGGCGCGGACTTCTTACGAAACCGGACCGGAACCGGGTGAAAGAAAAATAAATTCGTCGGGTTTACACGCGCGCGTAAGCCGTTCGGAAATGTTGCTCTCCGTGTGAATAAATGCGCCCGAGCGTGTAGCTTTCGTAGTAGCGAAGATGTCTTTGTGTTGAGAAGATATATGTAACGCCGGATATAAATTACGAAATATTCTAAAATTATCCACAGAACAAACAGCGACGCAACTTTTTTGACTTGGAGCTGATATTCGAGCTCCTATAAATTCTCCACCTCTCTTCTTCGTTGATTTATGGAATAAGAATTCTCACCGATGTGACATCTTCGTAAAAACTCGGCAAATCCATTGTATTTGTTGATTGCGTAAGCATGACTGATGCACGTAACTGGAGATTAGAAAGAACACACACGATTTGATCTATTGGTGTTCGTGCAGCATCAACTTGAAGCCAATTGATAGACTCGCAGTAGAAATTTCACAGACTGAATCTTTTACAGTCTAAGTAAACTTACAGTGAAACTAGGTAAAAAAAAAAAAGACTTTTTGTGATATATTAAATTATTAAATATCTTTGCAACGAATTTTTTGTATATAAAATTTGTTTCACCTAAAAGTAGTACGAAGAATTTGCAAAATTATTTAATAGTAACTTTATTGTAATTTAAAATAAATAATTTAATATTACTTTTTATTACGAATATATTTTTGCTTATCACTCATTTGGATTTTTTGCTTTTTTTGCTTTATTGCAAAACTCCTATGCTCGATTTTTAGACGCATTGACGTGTTGTTAACGTGATCCGGGTGCGAATCCTAACCTGAAATCTTTTGGCCCATGTTCATGCCCCGGTGATGGGAGCGATGGTGAGGGTGATGCCGGTGGTGATGCGCGTGATGACGGTGTTCCGTGCACTGTTTGCCGGCAGGCAGCTTGTGCCTGTGATGTCTGGAGCCGCAGGTGATGGTGGTGGTGGTGGTGGTAGTCGTCGTGGTGGTGAGCTGATGATGATGATGATGGTGATGGTGATGATGGCCGGTAGTCGATAGTGCAGTAGTAGACACCACGCCACCGTCTATTCCTCCTCCCCCTCCGCCCCCAACTCCGCCGACGCCGGCGCCCCTGCCGGGGCTACCACCGCCCCCGCCGCCGCCGCGGCCGCCCGCTGTACCTGAACCGCCTCCGGTACCGCCAATCGCCCCGTTTCCGCGGCTACCGCTCCCGCTCACGCAACTTCGCTTCTGCCTGCAATGAGAGAACAGAACGAGGACGATGTTAATTCGTGCGCGTTTCACAAAGGGAGAGAGATAAAGAGAAAGAGAAAGAGAAAGAGAAAGAGAGAGAGAGAGAGAGAGAGAGAGAGAGAGAGAGAAAGAAGAGAGAAAGAAAGAGATGGAAGGAAGAATACAGATTGATACGCGAGCTGAGATCAATACGCTGGGAAGAGGAGGAAAGTGATTTTGATTGGGAATGATTTTTACAATCGATGAACTCGCGGAGAGCTTTTAAATTACTTACGAATGTGCATCTCTGTGTGAGGATGCGGGCAGCAAGCCTTTCTTCTTTAGACCAACTAGGAGTCGCGTCTTTTTGTTACGTTTTATGACCCTTTAACGACAAAATCATAATTTTCTTCTTTAATATTTACAGTAAGAAAGAACATGACTAAGAAAATTTTGATTTGTTATTCATGATTTTGTTTTTTGTTTAATTTTTGCCAAATTATCTCTTATTCTCTATTTGTGAACAAAAATTTGGAAGAAGAAAAATTATCTTTCAGACGCGAGAACCTAGTAGATATTTGCGCGCAGATATCTGCGCTTTATTTCGGCGGACTACACGCCGAGAACTACTACTGAAAATCCAACCGACACACAGCCCCACATGCAACAACGCAAAATAAAATATGCGCACACAAAACTAAAAAAAAAAAAAAAGAAAAAAAAAAGAAAACGTACAATTGGTGGATCACAAGAATTGCACATGCGTTTCTCCTTGCTCGCGCCAAGAAAGCTTCGAAATTCTGGCAAAAAAACTCCGCCGAATTTTCACATGCGCCCGAGCGTGCCTACGAGCGAATCTCCCGATGTGTACTCGCTGTGTCGTCGCCGCCACCGCCGCCGCCGCCGCCTCCTCACCTGCGGGCTCGCAGAAAAAAAAAAAGCACGTCAGAGCGAATCTCGATTAATCACGTTTTCCTATTTGCGAGGCTCCGCGAAACAGAATCGCCAATGTATGTACATAGCGTGTAAGCGCGGGACGAATTGCGGGAACCGATTAATTCTTCCCGCCGGGTGACGTGCATGCACGAGAGAGGAGTAGCAGCAACGTTTCCATCACACACAGCGGCCCCGCAATTTCCGTTCCCGTCTTTCCGTGTCGCGCGCATTTGAATTTTCTCTCGACGTGCGTCGTCAGAATCTGCCGCGCGCGATCGAGAACAAAATATCAAGAACAAAGAAACATTTGGTATAAAATTTAAAACGCAAATTTGTGATTTTAAAAATACACGAGCAATTAACATTCCAAGTGTGTGTAAATAATTTTCATAAATTTTGTCGTGGTAATACGTAAAATTTGTTCCATTTTGTAAAAACTCGAAGGAACGGCACGTTAATTAATACGTTGACTCGTAAATGTGCGCAAACCCCTCCTCACGTTGCGTGGACGGCAAGAAAAAAAAAAGTCGACGAATAACTCGAATCAGCGCGGGGTTTACTTTGGTGTTTTGCGATTACTCAAGAGAGATTGTGTTGCGCGCGACTATCAACGTCACCGCGGAATTAGCGCAAATTGGCGCATTTGTGAGCGATCATTACCTCGGGAGCGCGATACGCTATTAATAGAAAAGCGAAAGTTTTACGAGCGCACGTGGAGAGAGACAGACGGGGCGGGCGAATGCAATTTTCTTGGCAGAAACGCGCGAAATGAGGGGAATAGGCGTACGCTGAATAATGACAAATTTCTCGCGTGCTTGGGACAAAAAAGAAGAAAAAAAATCGCGAGGAACAAACGTGTGTAGGATAATGAGAAATATAAAAGCGATAACACGCAGAGTTCTCGGTTCTATTAGCTCGCAACGATATTGCGAATTCAATGAAACAAGAATTCGCATTTTAAACAAAAACGTAACGCGCCCGGCGGAAAATGCATTTCGGAACTTCGTAAATTTCGTTCGTTTCCACGTTGCTCTTCTAGAAAGTTGCTCTTCGTCCGCGGCTTTCGTTGCACTCCCTTGTGCTTGTCGTATCAGGCGTCGCTGCCGGTTAATTTCTGTGTTTGACTCGAATCGGAATCGCAAAATACTCTCTCCGTACAATAACACAGAGAGAAATAACGAGATCCGATCGATTTTACGTCCGGTATTCAATCCGATTGAAGAAATGTGAAAACACAGTCTCCGGCCGTGCAACGGATATCACGGGTCTTTTTTTTTTTTTCAATTCAGCTCTATCTTTCCTGTGACGTAACGTACGCTGACCGTAACTCGATCATTCGTCCGTATCCGTTTGCCGCTGTGCTGGCTTCCGGCGGTGGACACCGGACATTGGCATCCTGAATCCGGCCGGTTTCACTCGCGATAATCGCGGCGTACTAGAAAGAAAGAGGAATCTGTCGCGGAAATCACGAAAAATTTTGTTACTCGCCTCGAAAAAAAAAAAAAAAAAAGAGTATTCGGCTCTTTCTTTCTTTTCATCGTAAAAAACAACCGAAGTATATCCGAACTATTCGAATATCAATTTTGACGTATCAAAATTGCGTCGCGACCGAGGTCTAATGCTCGTCTCCGATTACTTTGATATTGACCGATCACGTCGGCCGATTAATTAGGAAATGGCTAATTGACGCGTAATCGAGCGATGCGCGCCAATCGAAGTCGAAACACGACAAGAGAAAGAGAGAGAAAGAAAGAGAGGGAGTTCGCGCGCGAGTTCATCCTGTTTTACGGAATTAACGGCGCAAACACACACCGCGGGGACGTAGTTAGCGACAATTATATCAGCGACAGTCGCGATAGATGCTAGACAGGCTTCGAGGTAGTAACTTCCCGTCGGCTAATCGTTGTTGTTTGTTAACAAGGTCGTTTAGCGAACAGTCCGGACGACGTAGATTTGCATCGCGTCTCGTCAACGCCGACTCAAGTTCGTAAACTTTTCGCGGACGGGAGTTTCCTCCGCGAAATCAGACTCGCTTCTTCGGGAAAGACGCAAAGGGGCGAGATCGTCGCTGACTCAATAAATTCGCGCGCAACAAATTTCGCGGAATGATAATTACGCGCTCGCTTCTTATTCTTCTTTCGATTAATTTAATGCGGGAAGTTGCGCGGCATCTTCGAACGCTTTTCCAAATAATTGTGAAACATTTTCTAATTAATCATCGCCGTCGCCGCCGCACAAATGAATAAACCATTACGTTGTTAACGCGCGGAGCAGGAAACGCGGTCGAGAAACCGCGAATTTAATTTCCCGCTGCGCGCGCGGGAAGTAAATGAGCAAGATGCCCTTTGAGCCGCAGCGCCCGTTCATGGCAGTCGTCATGGCAGCCTGACCGCCGTAGCGGCACAGGCGTTTCATTTAGAAGTCCATTAATGGCGTTTATCTCTGTTAACCGCGACGGGAGAGTGATATTGCTGCGAGTCTCGAAACCGAGAGAAAGTAACGAAGTCGCGCGCGCACGCGAACTTCCTCGCTCCGCGCTCACAAGCCAATTAAAAAGAATATTCGAGACAATTAACGTCGAATAAAAAAGTCCGCCTCTAAATACAATAATATCGTCGGAGATTACATTACTCGGTCGGATTTGCAAAAGACACGACGCGACCCGCGATAATTAATAACGTTTCCGAAAACGGCGGAAGGTCCGCTAATCTCTTCAATTCGACGCTCGCTAAAATTCATCATCGAGTTTCGAACTTGCGCGCGCGAAGGGAAATCATTTCGCGCAATCCGATTTATATCTCCAAAATGTCATAGGGAAGTATCTCGATCTGACCTGTGATCAAAGCGTCTGAAAGATTGAAACCTTTTCATATCTTCAAAGGGAGCGAGGAATCAATGGACACGAAGCACAAGCGCATCCCGCGTGTTCACAGTTGAGGGATTTTTCCGAAATATATATCTAAAGAGAGAACGGCTCTTTATAGACGGAAAAACGTTGCGGCTCGTGTAAAATCCCCTGTTTTTCGAGCCGAGATATGTCTGCGGCAGCAAAGGATTAATCCGCGGGGCGAACGAAATTCGTTTGAGGGCAACTTTCAGCGAGTTACGGACCGAGCGCGGCATTTGATTTCGAGACGAAATACGAGAACGCATGGCGGGTTCGATGGAGGCGCCCGAGCGGCGGCGGTATTGATCCGCGGGGGTCACCTTTGCCCCACCTCGACACGGGACCAACCTCCAAATCCACCCCTGCCCTGCCCTTCAGGCATCCGCGCCACACGCGAGTCCTCACGATCAGCGCCTGCACATAGCACGAACCTCTACTACTTTCCATTAAATAGACCATTGAAAAATATCATGGCTCTAGCGCGAGCTGGGAAGAGATCCTCTTTTTCTCCTCAGCGATGAGGACAGAAAACGAGCGTCATCGTCGTTCCGTCTGTCTCTTTCTCTCTCATTATGAGATACAAAAAACGAGCAATGTCGCTTCTAGATTTCCTTTCGCTTCTAAAATCCTTTCCAAACATTCCCGCACGGTCGAGGTTATCTGTTTAAACAATCTATTATGCAAGAAAAAACTCACGATGCCACCGTATGATAACATCTTTGATATTTTTCGCAACAAATGGTTCCCTTGACATTTGTGTGACATTTGTCGCCGCGCGACTCGCGAAATATTCCCGTAAATTTGGCGAGTTTTATGCGTCTCGTAGGCGTCCGTTTATTTATTTTTTTTTTTTTGCGTTTTACGCCATTTTTGCGAATTGTTCTCAACGCGTTTCTCGCCGCGGTCTCCGTCAAGCGGACTGTAATGTACGAAACGCCTGTTGTGTATTGTAAGGTAACACACACGCTCGCACGGCGAATAAATATTTGCCGCGAGCGCGATTACGCCGGAGATGCGCGCCGCGTTAATTGTTAATTTACAAATTCTCGCGCGCTCGTTCCGTCGCGGTTGCGTAAATATTTAGCGTGCAACGCCGCCGATGTTGTATATTTCTCGTTTCTCGTGCAACCGTTTCGGTTCGGACCGTCGCGCATCGCGGAATTCATATTTTCACGCGACGCGATTCGTAATGACGCGCGCGCTTACAGAGCAATTAATTTGTCGATTAATATTCATTCCAGACGAGTGTTTGTTGTTCATCAATATTAATGCGCGATCCGCTTCCTATCTCGCGTAAGCCGTCCGGGTTTCACACTTAGAACTCATCCGAGTGTGGCGGTACTCCGCGGCGGTACTCCGCGGCGGAATATTGAAAAAAATATTGAAAGAAAACACGCGCGAAAGATGCGCGCGAATTGTATCCCGAAAGTGGAGCTTCCTCGGCACGGAATAAAAACAAAAAAATAATTATTAACTGACCGAATTTCGCGACGATCGCGCATCGCGTCGTGTAAATGTTCCTCGAGAACTCTCTTCGTCTTCGGGGCACACATCGGACGGCC